TTATTCTGAGCTTCAAGCAAAGGAAATTTAAAACGTCGTCGCTGGTTGTTGTCAAATCGCTTAATTATATTGACTAGTCAAATAACTCAGCTTTGAGCGATAGAATTCGTTCGAAACCACGTTGCTTTTATAGATTTTTGCGGGTCATTTCAGTGCGTCTTGTCTTGATTTTTAGGTTAGGCTCTTATAATAAACTCGTTAGATAACACGTTCATTTGCGTACTGGGTTTGCTATTGTTACAGTATTTTCAATTTAGCCTTAAAATGTCTTCTGTCATAATTTTGCTGCGGCGCAGACAATAAAGACTCCAAACGCGTTTTATTGCGTCTTTTGTGGTTATTTTAGCTTTAGATGTGTCTTGTGTCTTGATTCCACAGCAGCGCAAATAAATAAAGATTCGTGAAACGCGTTTCCTTGCGTACTGTGTGGTTATTTTAGCTTTAGATGTGTCTTTTGTCTTTATTGTACATGAAATAAAGATGGCAGTTGTCAAGTCTCTTGTGTATTGCCTTTTGTTTTCATGAACTGTGTTCGGTTCAGTAATATCTACTATTAGTCAATAAATAGACACTAATATTTACTSTTTATTTTGATCATATTTCACGGTACAAGTGTGATGACTCTATGATTTGTAGATTGCTGTTTTAGGATTATCCACTGTTTTTTTAACACAATCATTTTGTAGCAAATGTAATTAATTCATTGTAACTGTTTTACTATATATAAATATGTATATATGCAGATGTAAATAGTACAACACATGGAGATGACCATAGAAGTGAAGATATGCCTGAAGCAAGTGTCACAGACCATACAGCAGCAGCTCCCAGTCAAACCCATAGATCTAACCTGCCAACTACACCCATCATAGGACAGCCATCTTCACACACTCCAGAAGTTATTGAGTGGACATTTCAGGAATCCCAATCCAATATTGGAGGACGACATGGGAGCARTGCATGTTGTTTTATTGCATTGGCCATGGGAAGCTTAATTCATTCAAGCAATCTTAGTTGGCCTACAAATAACAACTTGCCAATTGGATGGGAACTTACTCTCCATACAGCCATGTTGAACGGTAATACCRTTCATGATTTTTTTGATTTTGAAGCAGTCAATGTCCAAGTAGATGATGCAGTGGCCATGGCAGGGGATGAATTCGGTGTAAACAGAGTGGCTGATCAGATGGATATATTTGGTCGTGACCCGGTAAAGCAGCTCGAGGACAATATCAAGAAAGTGGTTGATACTGCACCCCTTCCGTCCTACAGTGTAATGTCAGCACATGGCCTTACYGTCCTCCTGGTTGTAAATGTTGATAGAAATGCTATGATTATTGACTCTCATAGCCATGGCAGTGTTGGTGCAATCATTAGTTTTTGTAAATCTGAAAATGTGTCATTTTTAGCTCACTGGTTTGCTGGCATGCTGCAAGATAATTTTTCTACTACATTATCCATTGCATCTCTTTCAATAATTGAATATTATGTCTTACCCTAGTACACTTAACCCTTGAGGTATATTTTACAAGTCTGTTCTGGATGAGATGTGTAATATGAATCTTTATAAATATTTTTGGGTTTAGACATTCATTTTATTTCAAAAGCAAGCATTTGAAATTTTAATAACCAAATAATGTTGCATATGTCCAGAAGAGATTTGCCCAATATTCAATTGTTTTTGATAGGTTTATTAATTTGACTGTAAAAATGGAAAGGAGTGTATGGTTTTTTTTATAAAATTTGAATGCTGCAGAAAATAGTCTGTTTTTCATGTTTTTTATAAAGTTTTCCTAAAAATATCAGTATGTTACTTTTTGATCTACCACTCCTAGCATAAATAGTTTTCAAGTAATATATGTTTGGTTGTGGTGATTGGCACATCAATGGAATATGTTGTATGTGTTATTTTGGCTTGCACAAGCAAGAATGAATCATTTTTAATATAACATTTTATTCAATATTACTGTACATAATATTTGCTATAATCCTTGAGATATTATTTAAAAATGAGATTCTGTAATTTATGAAAGTTGTTACCCATGATTATATATAACAACAAGAAAGTATTCATTTTCATTGATTGGATATGCAATAATAGTATACTATATAATATATGGGTTGGTTATACTAAACAAAACTGTAGGAAATGTACTAATAGCAGAAGATAGAGTTACACTTTGCTTTCAAACAATTGACTCAAGTTGAGGACGTTTTCAAGTATATGATATAATTATTATCCTTAACCCAGATGCAATGGTGTAGCTCCAGGCTTCAAACACATATGGCATATGACTTCAAGCATCATGTATTAAAACAGCAATTACACATCTAATTTGATTGTATCTTAAGCCAGTTTTATCTTTGATTTCTCTAAGGGACATTCCATCTTTGCTGACTTCTTCCTTTACAGAGTCGAATGCTTGAAAGTCGATCTCCAGGTCATTTACGATTTTTTTTCTGAGTTGCTTGTTGCCCTTCCCTTCTGCAATAAGATCTATAAYGTAGACCTCAGCAGTGGCTTCCGCCACTCCCAGACTTCTTGCACATTCAGCAAAATTTGCCCCTCCACTCCACTTTTGAAATGCCAGCATTTTTTTGTGACTACTCGTCGATTTGCCGTACAAGCGCTTCAATGACACCTGCAAAGATGTTTCACTGTTTAAGAGTTTGAATATTGAATATGACGATAGGAAAGGTCTAGTGCGACTATGAAGGAAACAAAATCACTACAATTAAAAAATAATTCAAATAATTCAAAACTTTTTGTGACTTAATTCTTTCATCTAATTCTTTTTCAAGGTATAGTTTTCACTATCTAGAGGCACAAGCGCAAACAAGCGCAAACAAAGCTTGGGTTTGTGCTTGTGCTAGAATGCGTTTTCAAACGAAGCTGAAAATGTTTAGTGAATATTGCTGATAACTAATATTGCAACCAACATGCGAGTATGGACAGACATCGCATCATACCAATGTCTTATTGATAAAATTCTACTTACTGCAAAGGGGCTAATGGTCACTTACCGAGAGAGAGGGTTTGGGACGCTTTGCCATGCGGTCGTSCATGTTATTCGGTGAGCTACCACCACGTTTGTTCCTATTGGAAGCAATAATTTGTATATCGGTTTTTATACTTAGTATCTTACACGATTTTGGTAGACTTTACATTAGGTATTGCAAACTTACCTTGCACTGTCTGTCATACTTCGAACTGAAGAGATAAAACAGTGAATATCGCGTCTAAGGTTGCTCGATCTTAAACGTAGCTTTTCTTGCAGTGGTGTTTCCGGTAAATATGAAAGACGCATTGTAGTGTAAGGCAAAAGGTGTGATTTTGACTGAAATACTAGACTTACTTTTGTGCTATGCGTGCTGAAAAGCTAAACACGAAGTTGAGGCAGTGCGTTCTAGTACCGGCTAAAACATGGACRTGCGCTCGCATATATGGTTCTTTATTTTTGAATATCTGTGCCCTTCGGACTTGATCAGAGTTGGTATTACAAGTTTTTCATGGTGGAAAGTTGTATTTGGAAATAAATCGACGCGAAGTATCAGAAGAAAACTCCATGAATGCRGCGATCTCGACGTCTTTAGAGGTGTATACGATCTGAACTTTTCAAGGACAACCATCACAAGCAAACATCTCTTACAAATTGCTAAAGAATCTGGATGTTTGCAGTATTTGGATGTCTCAAACTGCCCACTACTCGATGAAGAATTCATCTTTATTGGCAAATACTTTTTAGGAGAGTTGACTCAAATAGACATGTCAAATAATGAAAGTGTTACAGTTCTTGGTATTGCGTGCCTTTCTACCTATTCTGAAATCCGTTTTATCCAAGTACATGGTATGAAACTATCGCAAAAAGACTGTTTATTCCTTGCGAAAACTTTTGATTCAATCTCAAGAGGAGAGATTGAATCATT